TATAGGTATTACTATCGATGCATACTAATGGTTGGTAATGGTAAGGGAGTGTATGGCTTTGGTGTTGGTTATGGCAATACCATCACTACTGCACGGGCTGATGCCGCTATGCAGGCTCTTAAACGCCTCCAGGTCGGCACCTCAGCTACTAATAAGGGTGGTAGATTAATTTCAGTTCGTTGATCTGGACAGTAGCCGAACACTGCACGCTCCGGTGATAGCGCGAGAGTACGGGCAGAAGTGCAAGATACTACCCCTGCCCGCCGAGTCGGGCATCCTCTGCAATCGACGGTGGAAATAATTTTGTGGCGCGCGGTAATTTTAGATGGTGTGGTAGATACTTGCCTTGGGTGTACATCATGGGATTGCATAATGTGGAATTGAAGTTTGAAGGAGAGCTCTCGTGGCTGTCGAGGACGAGGGCCATCACTCGGACCACCAGCATGATAATGAGTCGTCGAACTGTTGCTAATGGTGAAGGCAAAAAGTACTATATCACCATCCCTGGCCTTCTTTCCTACTCTGTGCTTGTGATTATTCAGATATGCCCATTTGATGGCCCCAGGGGACCATTGGGTTCACTGGCCTGACCGATGGTTTAAGGAAGTCCGCAGACGGTATGACCAGAAGGGCCATATGATACGCCACGAACGGAGGTCAGCAGTTACTACTCGTCTATTATAGTGTAGTTGCTCTTGCAATAGGCATCTTCTCCATGGTAAAAAGCGCGGTAATATCCTCGTGTCACCACTAGAGGTTCGGCCAGGATTCACTAGGTGACACCACTGTGCCCGTTGATATGCTGTTTATCCACTAGCTGTAGATTTGGTTGGCAGCCAGTGATGAACAAATGGCAGTGGCATTTGAATAAACGGAGGCAACAGTTTAATTTGGTGAAGTCGTTGACCACCGAGGAGAACGTATTGTTCCCCACTCCGGGTTCAGGAAGGTTCATGGCCCCTAAGGTAAGTCCTGGGCAAGGGTGATGCTATCATATCAAATGGATCTCAGAGTAAAACCGATGTTCGTGGTAATGCGTGACATATAGCATGCTTGTTTCTCGCGCCTACAATACCTTTGGGCAAGTTTCTGAGTGTG